ATATTATAGTGCAGCAAGATGAACGGGCAAAAAAAACACACATTATCAGTTTCTTGTAGCAGGCTCGACAACATATATCTATGCCAACGGTTAGATCAATACGTCTGCGGGCAGTAAGCTATTGAAGAAAAGGATTTTTAATTTTTTGACGTTTTTTTTTTTAAGTCTTAAAGGCAACAAAATTAATCAGAATGTTGTCCCATGAAAGGCGAAGAACTCATGCGAATTTGTCTCATTTTTAGTCTATTTCTCAACTACAGAAAAAACGAAATACTTTTACGTGTAGCTTTCCATTTCTTGTATGTGGTGCTTCTTTGATTTCCTCCTTCACCTTTTCTCTGTGCTCCTGTTTACATGAATCAAACAAGCAGTAAAACTTTAATAAGCAGATAAGGCCTGCATTTTGAAACTGGGTCTGATCTAATCAACCAAAATTTTGCCGGTTTTCGATTTATTTAGTGTAGTTCCACATAGGCAGACAGTCGGGATGAAATTTTTATTGTTTAGCAATAGATTGACAAGCACTGCTGAGCATTAATAGTTCGAAATTCTCCATTCATTCATTCAATTAATTGGAAATACAAAAAAGTAGCTTGGATAACATTATCCCGTAAGGTGTTCTTTTTATAGCAAAGAGTATGCCTGCTACGTTATTGCTCATTATTTCCTGAAAAATAGTGCATACCTTACGGCAGTACATTAATTTGGCTGCGGCCTAAGAAAGATTTTCAAACTTTTCAAACTATACGTGCATTTGTGCATATGTATATATAACTATGTAGCTGTAGGCTTTCGTTCAGACTTTCGCCTTTGGAAAAAACGAAAATGAAGAAAAGTTTCTCGGAAACTCCTTATTTTTTGCATCGTGTGTCAGATGAGCGAAATTTATTTACAAAAATCTCTAACTGTAACAGTTTTTTCACTGAAATCGACGGCAACATATAAAACTATGTAAAAAAAAAACATGTCCTCATGCTGCGAATTTAACATCAACTGGAGTTCAAATCCTAACCCATCTTTTAAAAGCTCTACCCCTCTCTCATAACTACATGGTTTCCTTGTAATTACGGCTGAATTTACCCACTTTGTCGAAGTTGGTCAAGTGCTTTAAATGTGAGAAATTTAGTTTGGATTTAATGTTAACCCGTAACACAAGAGGACAGAAAAAATTATATGGTTTATGTTGACGCGGACGACGGCAAAAAAAATATGTAATAAAAAATGTGTGAAGAGAAAAAGTTTTACTCTCAGAGGAGTCAAAACTGCTTTCCATAAGAATCTGCAGTAAAGTAAATTTTATTCTCAGAAAGTGAATTTTACTCTCACAAATAGGCGGCTCACATCGAAAATTTGGAACATGTTTACATTTATATTCATATTCATGTAGCAATTTTTAAAAATGATTCTCTCTCTCTCCCCTTTTCAAACACAAGCAAAAAGAAATTTCTCTCTCGGTAAACAAGATGTTAAAAAAACAATGTCAGCAATTAACGATTCGGCAACATAACATAACCTCCGGGCAGGCAATTTACAGAGTTGATGTATAAAGTGCATTATCTAAATTGTATTATTCGAATTTGGCTTCGTTTAACTTGCTCGGTTTCATTCCAGCAAACACAACAACCTTCATGCAGGGATGTAATTTCTCGCTTTTATTTTCTCCTATTTCATTGTTGCACTTGTTAAAAATTTTAAATTTAACAGGTGTTACTGTCAAAGTGAACGCAAACGATATAACTAAGAAAATTATATGCCTATCACCGTTATCCTAAAAGAGACCAAAAAAAAAAAAAGAACTGAATTTTCATACTCTATAAGATTGAATGGGCGTGGCTGATTTCTTCTATTTTCAGAATAAAGGTGGCAATATATATATGGTGTGTGTGGTGTACATTACGGGTAACAAGCAAAAAAAAAAAAAGCAAAGCTGTTCACAGTTTGTGCGTGAGATTTTACCGATTTTAGTCATTTCCTAATTGTTTTAACGATAGCTTTATTTTTGCGGAGTGGAGAATATGTACCACGACACAGTTGGGCAGGCTAGTATGGTAGTATATACAAACGCTTTTTTTATTTGAAATATTTTTAATTTTTCTCAATTTTTCACTCGATTAATATTTTTGAGTTTCTTTTCTTTCATTTTTTTCGCAATTATTCAATTCCTACAACTGCTTTGTACATTAAATTAATTTTATAACGGAGAAAGAGACATTAAACATATAAGCACGGTTTTCCACCTTGAGGTAGGCGCCATAAATAAATGGTTAAATTCCCTGTTGAAAGGCAAAGCACAGAGTCGCTTATAATAAATAAATGGTTAAATGACCAACTTAACAGAAATGTTAACGCCAAGCAGCTAATGTTAAAGGCCCAACATAACAGATCAAAGCTAATCGATTCTGTTAAATAACAGATCAAAGGGAAAATGCAAAGCCGTCGGCAAAACAAAGATTCAAAGATGTATGAATGTATAATTTAAATTTCACTTGCACACTTCTTACCAATATTTACATTTGACGGGAAACACGATGCATACCTTTAGGTGTTATCAACATTTCCAATTAATTAAGCGATTTAACGATACAAGGAAAGAAAGAAATTTAGTGGAAGAAACTTATGACTAAACCATGGAAATGTTACGCTTTCTTCCGATTTCCTCAACTTTTCTATAAAAGCTAATATAAGTTATAATAATTTGATCAGTGAAAGTTTTTATTGCTATACGTTGAAAATAAAAGAAAATGAAACACGAAAATGAAATAAAAGAAAATAAAGAGCGTAATCTTTGTTCGAGGCGCAACTGCGCTTGAGACTTGGGAGATGCAAGCAATATGATAGGAAAGTAATTTTTTTTTTTTTTTTAAATTAAGAAAAGCTACAGTGTACATCATATGTTGCGTCAGTGCACTTGTTGAAACTAAATGCTAAATTTATTAAATCCTTCCCATACATTGCAAAATAGGCGACCACGACGATCTAACACCGATTCCCGTATGTTACTGTAACTTAAAATAGGATGCCTCAACAATATCGTCATTATGAATTGCGCACTCAGGGAAGAGGAGGCTAAGTCGAGTTCCATTTCTATATTTCGAAAATGCGTACAAGAATCCAATAAGTGAGGAACAGATGCATCACTTGCGCTGCCGAAAGACCAGTCAAAAACAATTATTTCTTCAAAGTAGACGGCTCTAAACCTAATCGAACGTACTTCGCATATGTTACGACGTTGAACTTTCCTCCCGTTCATTATGCAGTCAGTAGCGGCAACTTTATTATGGTTCATTGGTCCGTGCCAAAACGAATTAGTGATCCATAACAATTGGCGTGCGTGTGTATATGGCAAATAATGCCACGTCTTCATTAGAATGTTATCAGAAGAATTTCAATTGCTGATAACTTGTAACGGCGACGAAAGAGACCGTATTGAAGAGAATACTAACATGACTGGGAATTCAAGTTAGAAGAGAATTTGGAAAATTTGGCGAATTAATGCAATTGACTTTTAATATAAGTTTGTTTCATTCTGTGTAGCTATAGTATGTAGAGAACGTATAGAGAACGTATATATGGAAAAATCGGATAGTGCTACGAGTTTATTGACAGGGCTTGGATTGAAGTTAATCAACAAATCTTGTCCGCGAAAACAAGTTTATAGGCATTAAAGTTGTGTTGTTCTTCAATTAAAAATTGCGAAGGGTATGGAGATTTTGCCTTTGAATACGTAAGGAGTTATCCGCATAACGAGACGAAATATGTAGAGATAATACGAGAAGCTTGTGTCTTTTATTGATTTAATGGAAGCATATAGTAAGGAGCGATTTCTAATAATCTCATAAACGGCGAATTCGATCTTGGTCAGCATAATCGACTTAGGTACTGTTTGCTAAATCAGAACATTTTCAGAAAGATTTTTTTAATTTAATTCAATTAATAGAAACGATTTAAGCCTCGTACAGCAAATTTTTTATTGGAATATTATGCGATAAAAACATTTACGAGAACTATTTATACATTCGGCGAAGAAAATACGAACGAATGGAAAAGATAGGACAACAGACATAAAATTTCGGCAGTTTTACTTATTAACAAATACGATGAAACCACGATCAGGTTCATCGATAAGAATTCTTTTGCGAAAAAAGTGGTCCCTTTCCCATTGTACCTAATAGTTTAGATCAACGGATTCTCATTTGCCAGCAAGCTCAAGCCTTCGACACGCAACCTATAAAGTCATCTGATCACCTATGCTCGCGCATACAGTCATACAGTCACCTTCTTTGCGTTTTTGTGTCGTATCGACTACAGGAGCTTTATAAACAGTATATCTTCTATTCGACCTTTTACACGGTACATTCAATTGTGTACGCAGAAGGTTTAGATAAAATGGGACCCTTTCCATTCTTTTTGTGTTTTTTTTTTTTTTGATTGTTTTTAATATGAATGACTTAGACGATGTCTTCAATTCGTATAGTGAAGAAAGGGAAAGGGATAGAATAGGTGATTGTAGACTAGTGAATTTGTGTCCAAGCGATAAATGTTATGCTTTGCTATACCAACTGAGCAATGTCTCGTCATCCTACGACCAAAGTAAACTCTACCGCGCTGAGATTTGAAACCACATTCTCTGGCATGATAGTCGCGATTCTTAACTATTCGAACATTGTGCCCCGAGAGTGGGGAAACGATCGCTTCTCATTATTACCCATGTAAGGTATATTAAATGATTTTATATATCTATCTATTCGGGGGATGCTCTCTAACGTTTTAAATCAGAAGTACGAAGGCTTTTTTCAACGGTTATCTTATTCACTTAATTTTTTCTTTATAATTTTGCGTATAGGTACAGTTTTATATGTTTCTCCATTAACAGGCGAACGTCTTACTATAATTTTATTAAATTTTTTATGAACAAGGTATTCGCCTGTGCTTAGAGTCGCAGAAAAGCATAGTTTAATTTTCATCTCTTTTTGCGTTGGCTTTTCGCCCTAATCTTTTTCTCATTTGAACAATTTTCTTTCTTCGTTAGTCAGAACCTTACTTGATAGATATTTTAATATAGCTTTTGGTTCAACTCTCAGTAGCGATAGGCGTTCTCTGGCGACATCTTCTAATCGTTGATTCTCCAAGTTCACGTGACGATCATGTTCGAGCTTATCTTGATACGCACTTTCCGCTTCCTTCATCTGTCTCAATTCGATCATTTTGCGCAAATCATTCCTATATTCTAACCGTTTAAGTGTATTTTTTCTATTTTGCTCGTTTTGCTCTTCCAAATACTCTGCGAGCGCGGTCTTATATCTGCAAAGTTCGTCTTCTTGATTTCTCCTCTCTTCTTCCTTATCTGCGGCACTCTCTAGCATTACGCGCTGAATCTCTTCACGGAAAGTCAACGTTTTCAGCATTTCATTCTTGCGGGCTTCTTGCATTTTTCGTTCCTCTTTAACTTTCATCTCGTCAGCGTGCAAATTATATAAAAATTCCAATCGCTGAAGCTTTTCCATTTCAATTTTGTATACATCCAGACCAATTCGTTCACCAATTGCTCTTAAATGCGTCAATTTTTTCCTCCTTGTAGATTGCGTTTCTTCTCTTCCAAGTTCCCTATCTTTCAGGTACCTTAGGTATTGCTTGCCACATTGGATTTCTTTAACTCGTTCGCGAGCTTTTACGAGAGCGTTGTCTTCAATCATTTTTCGGATTTGCTGTCCGCATTCTTTGCGTTCATTTCGCTTTCGCTGTTGTTCTTCCATTTGATCATTTTTAAATTTTTCTAAAATCTTTATCCTTTCCTCGCGATCCCTTAATATCTCTTCGTTTTTACGCAATTTTTTAATTTCATTTTGTCTGATTTGCTTTGCAAGCTCTTTGCGAAAAGTCGCTTTGCTTAATTCCTGTTCATACTCTTCCTTTTTAAGCAACTCAGCGTTCTCCTGCATTTTATGAAGTCTCTGATCTATCTCGCTCTGGCGAAGTTCTCCTTCCTTTTCCAGTCGTTTTTCCTTTAAAAGCCGTTGCTCATCAGCGGCCAGTTTCAATTTTGCAATTCCAAGTTCGGACATAAAGTCACGTACATCCTTATCCGCCTTCATTCGTATTCGATGGCGTTCTCTCAACAATTCTTCGTGTTTTAAGTTACACAGCTCATTGCAAATCTCAAGGTTATTCCTTTTTTTGATATTTTTCGCAGACTCAGTCATCGTGAGAGCTTCTTCGTTATACATAGCTTTCACAAGCTCCTTCTCTGCCCAAATTTTTCTTGCTAAGAATGAACTACGGACATCGTTCGCTGAACGCGCCTCATTTGTCATCGACCAACGCGCTTTACCCATCATGTTAACGATTTACAATATAAATATGTTTGTATATTAACGATTTAATATTAAAAATTATATCTCAAAAACAATAACAAAAAAAACAAAAAAAAAAAAACAAAAAAAATGAATTTATAATAATTTCTTTTCAAATTCACAAAACTTTGCCCGATTCATCACAAAAGGTAAATTGAAATGAAGGAAAGGCGAAAAGAAAAAATCGAAACTAAAAATTAATTATCAGATCGAAATGGAAATCAATATATGTACATATATATATGTACATATATATAAGGTAACTGCCAGTTTTATCATTGTTCAATCAAAAAATCTCGTGTCGACATTGAAGCCTTTTTACTCAACTCAGTAAGTCATCTGTTCTTGATTATTGATGACTCGCAGAAGAAATAGAAAAAAACAAACAAAAATTATATATGATTATTGAAACGATTTTAGTTCGATACTCGTCTTCATCTCATGTTAGTTTTTCTTTAAATTGTGCCACACATTACGATCACTATGCTTCTGAGTCCTTACTCAAATCAGATTTTAAAACGATGTCTCTTGGAGGTCACAAACTATTCGCGCACATATGTCATACGCTTCGATCTTTCTAATCAGATTGTAATCTTGAATGTTAACTTTGCCCGTGGACTGAAACTGACGATATTGCACACATGTTCCTAATGACATATATCATAGAAATAATGAACATGCATTGTTCGTAAAAAACAAACAGAAATCAATGAAAACAAACAAGAAAATTATACTCACCTATGGCCGAATCCCTTATATATTGTAAATGAAGCACAGAAAGCAGTCAAAAAAAAAGAGCATAAAGCAGTTTAGGAGTAATCGGCAGAGTCACATTTTTATCCCTTTGAAAACAGTAGCGTTTTCAGTTTACTCAAAGCCTGCAGTAAGCGCATCCCTTGAGCGATCTGACCTCTTTTTGATACCAACCTGCGTATACCAACTTTCAATGCCTTTGCTAGATTCGAGGTCGATATCTTCGTTTTTATCATCAAGAGAGAGAGAGAGAGCGTTTTCAACGGACGGATAGAAGGACATGCTTAGATCGATTTAAAATTTGATGCTGATTGAGAATATATGAACTTTATGAGGCGAAATGCGTATACTGCCACCTGATGATTTTCACACCCACCATCCACTGGATTTATTTTGTCAAAACGGTTGCGAAACCTAAGAGGAGCACGACACTATGGCGCATATTTTTGCATGTTTTGTCAAGTTTTTAATGCATTTGAAGAAGCATTTGAGAAGCTTCGTTACGCTTGCACTCAACCCAACTTATCTCTCAACCCGATAAGTGTGAAATAAGTGCGAATTATTCCGGCGAAAGCTCTAAAAAAATCTATTGCAAGAAAAGCAAAGACCTTTCAAAACGCACGAATGAGATGATGGATCCAGAAAGTCCACTCTTTGTTTGCATTGGTGTGCGAACGACATCATTCGTTTCACAGACGTAATCAATTGGGAAAAAAATTTCTCTTTTTCTCCCACATGCTCGACAATTCAAAGCATCTATTAGGCCATCGAAAGAGTAAAAGAAAAGAAAATAAAAAGGTTTTCTTAACCATTGCCAACTGTATGGTAACTGCCGTCTTAGCAGTGCTTGTCTACGATTGTTTGCGGTTTTGCGCTGTTTTGCCCATAGAATCGCTTCGGTTTACGCGCTTTAATGTGAAATCTACTTATGCTCTAAAGCGGGAAATACTCATATGTTGGTAATAAAATTGTGTGGCTTTTTAAAAACTTTACAGTAGCGGCTATCTTATCAGAGCAAATGTATTGTTGTTTGCGGTTTACACTGTTTTCCTTATAAAATCATTTCGGTTTACGTCTTCGGTCTTCATAACAGACAAGAGCAGACGACCGTATATATGAAGTGTAGAGGGTTTTCTGCCGGTCTCTTTTTGCGAAAGAGCGGAACACCGCTAACCTGCTTTCCTTTTTACGATTCTTTAAACTAATAATTAAGATAAAAGAGAAGAATTATAAAGAGCGAAAAAGTCAAAAGGCTGTCTGTGTAAGACGAAGTGAAAAAGTGATCAGAATACATGCAGCCACTTGAAAGATTTTGCTTTGTAAACGGGGAATGAAAGAGCAAGCAATCCAACGGCTAGTTAATCAGAGAAACACCCCAAAAATTCCCTGAATTTTTGTTAGCTTCTATTTTGCACAGAATCAGACTATGTCTCGTTATTTAACTGTCGCTGATATAAGTCATTATTTGTCATAAAGTACTCTGTAAAGCTTATCCGTATCATTATTATTATAATCCAAATAAATTTTGCCGAAACTGGTTTTGTACTTCTCCCTCATGATGCGAAAAAATCTTAATACCACGATAAACGACAATGTAACGAGAATATGGACAATTTTGAGCAACGGGAGGCCGATCAAACTTGGATGTTTGAAAGACATACACTTTTCAAATTTACAGTGGTCCTTATCCATGTCTAATAAAAAGCAATATTTTGAAAATATTTACATATATATTTTTTTTTTTTTTTTTTTTTTTTTTTTT